TATATATTTCAGACTAATGCCGAGGCTTGCTACTCAACATAGTAAAAACCATTCTGCTAACTGAACATCACTGAGACTTTGTACTGGAAGAACAGCAGAAAATGAAGCAATTCTTTGAGCACCAAAAGTAACAATTCCTATAGATTGGACGCAGGAATAAAGTTCTCCTCATAAAAATTCAAAGAGCGTAGTGGGAAGCTGTGGAAAACTTACGGCAAATGTCACTGTGAAGTGGAAGCCCATACTTCTTTTGTAACGCTGTATTTTCCCAACATTAGAAAGAATAGGTGCAGTTTTCCTTTACGATTATTAAAATATATAAGCCCACGGTTATTCTCAATACAAACGATCAACAGTTGCTTAATGAAAGCCAGCCCATCTAGAAACTATTATAGACTCATTCTCGATGATTGCTCCTGCTTACCAAACACTTTGGTAACACTTGTTGCTTTAAGGCCCATTAAATCTGGCAGCTGGTCAATAATGATGTCTCTGCTAGCCTTGATCTTGTGAACTCTTTCAATGCTTCTTCTCTGCCAGTCAGTCCAGTAGATGTAATCTCCCAGCAGTGTGAACCCAAATATATGTGGAAGCTTATCTTCTAGGAGGGTTTTCCTCATTGTTCCATCAACATTGATGACCTGTGGGATCACAAGAAAAAAGGAAAAAATAATCTTCTCTAATGCTGGTACAATTAAAATGGCACTTACACAAGGACCTCCTGAAATTCACAGCATGCTGCTTTTAAAAGAATGTACTGCTAAGTTTGTTGAAAGATAAATAGATTGGAATGACAAGACTGAAAGCACCTTCTCCATGAAAAACCAAAGCAACATGAATTTAACTTGCATCAGTTCAAACCTGCAAACAGCCCTGCAAAGGGAGTGTTTTTGGGGGATGGGAGTGAGATTCAGGAGATTTTTTAATCTCCATTCATGTCTTGGTCTCAACTGAACTCTATCGGCAGAAACAAGGGATTGCTGGAGTGACTTTCAGAACTCAATCACAGGGAACAGAAGCCTTAAGAATTCTTTCAGGGCACAAGAAGGCCTGCACTTGTGATAAGCAAAATCTTAAAGATGTGGAATAAGTGTTGACTTACGTAAATCTGCATTCTGAAAACTGCAGAGAAAGCAAAATAGCACTGGAGATGGGATAAGCCCCACATAGATATATGCGCGCAATATATATGCACTATTGCTTAATTATTTCATAAGCCATTACTACAATGATCTCGTGCTACCCCCCCATTGCTTGACATAAGGAGATATTCATATGGTCAGACCCTGATCAACAATCATTGGGCAAGCTAGGAAATTAAGAAGTCCACGCACAATTCCCCATGCCACATGCCTGAACTCACCTTCATCTACTACACAAACTGCAATAATCTTTTGAGTATTCCAGACATCTCTCATCCACGGCAAAGAGCGTGTATTTGTAAGGCACAGGCAAAATATTATCTGACAAATCCCCAGATTCCTCCCCATCCTACTTCTTGCAACGTTATCTACAGTAGTACACTACAATGTAATTACAGTACATCATTTTAAGGTGCTACTTGAAAATTTATACTGTGAGCAGCATCAAGTTCAGTGTCATACTAAAATCAAAACAAAACACCACAACTGAAGACAATTTATTATCCAATGTGATTCAATGCATTTGCTGCTAGAAATGCTTCCCAAGTGGACAACTACTGTCCTTAAATTTAGGCTACCACCGCTTGTGATTCAAGCTTTAAGTAGTCTCCTCTTCACTATTATTTGGAAATTATTTGTTTATTCAGACTCATACGAACCCTTTACTTTGTAGGTTGCCATCACCATGCAACACTTCTATTGTATGTGATTTAAAGACAGCTATGGCCATTTCAATACCATATTCCCCTGACTTTTAAATTGCTAAGTGTTTATTTAAGTGCAATATTTACTTCTTACTTTAGAAATGTCTATAACTTACATGCAATGCAATACTAAACCATTAAATGCCTAACAATATTGTGGGCAGTCAAAACCAACCATCAGTTTTATCGTAATACAGATACTATAAAACAGTAAGTTGTAAAGTTTTCTCCAGCAGCAGAAGCACCTACAATATCTTTTTTTAACATGACCAATGGCAACCACATCTTACTAAATTAGCAGGTGAATTTCATTATGTTCACACACACCATGGTAGATACCCAAATAAACTGAAGCCCGAAATCTCCACTTTGAAAACTTAAAATACTTTACAAATTGAAATGAAAACAACATGCATCTCTTCTGTGACACAGTTAATTTGAGCATCACTTTTCCCCTGTAGAGAAACACCAATAAAATGTTGGCAACAATTTTACTACGTGAATTTTACATTAAAAATAAATAAAATTGTTAAATGCTAGCACCCTGTATTGGGTTTGCATGGCAAGGAGGACTGTCTCCCATGGGAAGGAACCCCATACTGCAGCAGAGGAAGAGCCCTTGAGGAGGAAGGACCAGCACAGGATGTGTGATGAACTGACCACAACCCCCATTCCCCATAGCCCAGCACCACTCTCTAGGAGGTAGAGAAAACCATGAGTGAAGCTGAGCCCGGGAGGAAGGGAGGGGTGGGGGGCAGTTGTTTTAAGAGTTGGTTTTATTTCTCATTCCCCTACTCTGCTTTGATTGGCAATAACTAAAATTAATTCCTCTTGAGCCAAGTCTGTTTTGCCTGTGACTGTAATTGTTGAGCGACCTTTCCCTGTCCTTATCTTGACCCACAAGCCTTTCATTGTAGTTTCTCTCCCCTGTCAAGCTCAGGAGGGAGAAGGGCAGAGCAGCTTAGTGGGCACCTGGCACACATCCCATGTTCCAGCCACCACCACCCAAACAGAGAGGTGAGCAGTCAGTGACTGCATCCTGTATTTGCCTATAACAGTCTGTCTTGCAATGCTACATTGCAGATGTCTTCAACCGTAATGGAGAACAACTTCATGAGAACTTTAAGCCTATCTAGCAGCTTACATGAATTACACAGGCTACAATGTAAACATCTGGATTCCTTCCTTTTGGAGACAGTTAAAAATAACACTGGCATTCATGAAAACTAAGCTTCAGGGTAGTTCCGTGTCAGCCTATCAGCCTACGATTCTTCTACTACTTGAAGCAGCAGAGACTGAAGATTAATGCCTTTTTATTTTGTTAAGCTAAATAGAGTACATTAAAAAGAATAAAAATCAAGCTGTATCTGTGGTTAAAAGCCAAATGGTTCTGCACTTATCTCATTACATCATCTCCAGGCAAACCTCACATGCTCACTTATTTAAAACAGCATCAATCCCACAGGCAATATGGGTTCAAAAGTCCACCGTACATACTCAGGTGCTGGAAGCAAACTGGTGCCACACAAAGTAAAGAAGCCACTGTTACCTTTGCAATGATGCATCAGCATGACAATGATCAAACTATCACATTTCCAACTACTTCTACAGATACGGATAGTAGAAGTTTAATGCAAATATTAGAGATGCTGACTAAAATACGCCAGCAAAGACTGGATCCAAGGATGCAGAAACATGTATTATTTAAAGCCATGCGTTCTTGAACCATGTGTTCATGAACCTCATGAAGTTCAACAAGGCCAAGTACAAGGTTCTGCAAAATGGGTTAGAGCAATGCCCAGTATCCCTACCGGCTGATGGATGAACAGATTGAGCAGCGCTGCTGAGAAGGACTTGGGGACACTGGTGGTCAAAAAACAGGACATGAGCCAGCAGCGTGCACTCACAGCCCAGAAACCAACCATGTCCTGGGCTGCACCACCAGCAGCGTGACCAGCAGGGCAAAGAGGGAATTCTCCCCCTCTGTGCTGCTCTGGTGAAACCCCTCTGCCATGGGCAGGAAACAGCTTCCCGTAGACCAGGTTGCTCAAAGCCCCATCCAACCTGGCCTTAAACACTTCCAGACACGCCGTATTAATTCATCATTTAACACCTGAAATGGCATGTGGTATGTAATCTGCCAACTGCAGCCACAGGGAAACTGTGGAGGTGCGTTTGGTATCATTTAGCACAGAGACTAGACTTCTGCTCAGGGTTTTCATCCTCTTTCTGTAAGTGATTATCTTGACGTCGGTCAAAGGACAAATGCAACACTACATCTGCTGTGTTTTCCATCCAAAACATTGAAAGCCCCCCTTGAACACAGGCACACACTAAAAGCCCCTGACTAAGTCTTAAGACTTTGATGACAAATCTCCTAATGAGACATCACCAAACTCAGCTAAAATCTGTTGCGGACAAAAAGAAATCAACATCAAACCTTAATGAACTGAATTACACAAAAACCCCCACAGGAAGGTGATAAGGTGTGATTTTTTATTTTTTTTAGATGCTGTGGCAGTGTATGCAAAATGATTAAACAAATATTCCCAAATATAACGCTCAAAAGCTCTTGGCTCTTTGAAGAAGATTAAAGTAAAACAATGCAATTAAATTTTACACATCATCACGATTCATGTAGTCAAGTTGTATTTCAGGTGCACCTGTGAAAAGAACAACTACTCAGCATATGTATAGGATGTCTTTTGACAGAAAGCAAAGAGAACCTTGCTCCTATATTTAATTCATTAAGATAAAACAGAATTTATTCAATTGCTACAGACAAAGCTGTAGTCAAATGGAAACCAATTCTTGGCTCAGCTAAATCACTATGTGAGCAGTAAGCGAACATAAAAGGCTGGTAATGTTAAAATTACATGACTGACATATTATTAGGAGACCTGTGTGGTGGGCTTGTGGGTCTGTCACCATTCCCTTACGGATCTATTCCTCTTCCCCTGTGGAAGAGAAGAGCTACGCTTTCTTT